TTAATAAAAAAAATTACAGTATCTAAAGATGTATTCACATTTTTCTAAAAAGTTTATCAACGTATTTGAATTACGAATTCGCCGAATAATTACAAAATTAAATTGATGTAATCAAGAGTTGAACTTGGGAACTTATTATTGTCGTGGACAAACTATCCCGGCGTTTGGACGACAATCGCACCGCCTATAAAAATCATCGCAATTGAAAAGGCACCGCGTTACACGAATCATCCTTATGTGAGCTGTCGAGTGTCTAATTTTCTTCAAAGAATTTCTATGTGAATATCTGCCTCAGTTTCTTTCAAGTTTGCGAGCGCTTTGAGAAGAGGTTTTGCCGGGCATGAGTCGGGTGCAAAATGAATAACAAAGTCGCCAGGATGATAGAGGTGAGGGAATGTGTTAAAGGTATGATCATCATTATCTAGTAGTAATGTCTACAAGACAATAATTGGATGAGGAATATTAAACAGAAATATGCATGTACATAAATAGGATTACTATTACACCACTTACCCCAGATCTATATTTGGGTTTCCGGACCATATTCCACATAGCACGTTGTTCATACATTCTAAAGTTGAAGTAATTTTTCTGTTTTTGTACATCCCGCAAAAATTGTCTACTCCAATCAGAATTTCTCATCAAGAAGACACCCGCATTAATACTCGGATCGCCCTCTGGTCGTGCGACGATTAGGTTTATGTCATTAAAATTTTCTTTTCCACCAACTATTCCAGAAAATTTTTCCAAAAGATCTTCAATGGTGACAGCGGGATTCGCGATTATTGCATCCATATCGATCCAGAATAACCAATCGTAATGAGGGAGAACCTTTTCCAAGGCGTCAATTTTACCCCAGACAGCTTTCCTCCCCTTATAATGTTGTTGAGCAAATTCCAATGATCTAGCAACAAAGGCATATCCATTCCTCAATGCGTAATCCCTTTTATTATCAGCAGCTTCAACAGCTGCCGGAAGCATACAAAAGTTCTCGTACACATAACTACTGGTGACAACGGCGATAGATGGTTTATCCTCCTCCTTGAGAGTTCGTGGATAACAAATCTTCGTTGCTGGTAAATTCAAATGCACGACCAAATCTCCTACTTCCTTTTCTTGGTAAATATGACCAACAGCAATGGTGGTTTCGGTGGGAATATTTTCAATTGAATTCGACCAATCCAACATTCCAATATGATCGTTTATGAAATAAAGTGAGCCCTTTTTTGAACGATGTTGATACGCCTGTGCTATCGGATTAACGTCATTTTCATTTTCATTTAAAATCGTAGCAATAGCCTTTTGGCCAAGTACGACAAACATATCATCACCACCTTGTACATCAAAAAGGCCCCATACGAGATTACTCTTCCGCTTGGTATTTAAACGATGACCATTTATAAGAGAGGAATCCAAAATTTGTTGTATCTTCTCAAGATTGATTATGGAATGAACATCGAGGATGACGACATGGTTATAAGTAATCCGTTTCTTATCAAGAGACTGTGCCTAACGGAATCGAAAATATAAATAAAAATTTTCGGATAGATAAAATTCAATGAAAGCATAATTTCTTATTGCGTACCCACTCTAAAATGGTTCTCTGCCAACTTTGACCAGCTGGCACCTGAAATTCTATGATATCATTATATTCTATCAACTCGGCAGTGTATTCGCGTAAGACGTCGTTACGTTTTTTGTTATATGGAGGCACCAGGAATTTGTAGTAGATGTTGGTTTCTTGTTTCATACATGAATCCAAGTTATCATTTATTCCGAATAAATATTTTCTCAACAATTTCCTTGATTTCAATTCAGACATCGGTGAACTAATAATAACCAATAGGTTATAGTGTCCAGAAGTATTTGGACTTACGGAATTACGAATCGATTCTTTCGAATCCATTGCCGAATCATGATGATTTTGGTCGGCGTGGGCATTATAAGCCTGTTCCGGAAATGTGACGGAATCACCAGTATGGTCAACATTCGAGGTAGAAATATGGTCGTCATATGGATGGTTTAAAAAGAACATAAAGGTTATAAAAAATACTATCGTTGTATATATATATAATTTCTTAAGAGCATATCTTCCGACGTTCACTTCTCGCATTGTGATTTGGTTTCAATAAACCATGAAGATAGACGGTTTATTATATAGACAAAGCAAGTGCTAAATAAATGCTACTAGACTATATTCATAACGTATTCATTAATGTGACCGAAACCCCTTAATTTGAGTTAATGCAATAGGTAATCGGCGAGTCGAGTATATCGCTAACCTCGATCGCAACTTGCAGCAAACTTCGAAACTCTATTAATAATCACTTGAGTTTTTCATAATATAATGTTTCTTTTATACATTTTGTGACCACGCTGGCGTACGCCCTTTTAAATCCTATAATTAATGAGCTGTTTCAGCGGTTTTACTTCATTGATCGCGAGGCCTTCGTCGATCATGTCTTGGCCGTGGTCACTTTTTGCTCATGACATTGGTTTTGTTCCAATTGGTTAAGAAAATTATTTCCAAAAGTAAAAACCATAACCGAGTATCGAGATTCTACGCAGGTGTCAACTATTTTTAGCTATCCAAAATTACTATTATGGTATTGTGATCTTGAAAAAATAATTGGACAATTTAATATATTGTTTTATATTATTTTTTTTGCAATAACGATATTCAAACTTAAATACTATGTATGTATATTTCATTTAATGAGGATAAAGAAAAAAACAGGTGGGCATCCAGTTTATGGAATTAGAATTGATCTAGAAAAAGGAAATGAAAATATCAGGACGATAGTTATTATGCAGCACGCTTTTCGGAGCATCGCTAGATTACCAAATCAGCCAATGCCGAAAGACAAAGTGCATACAACGTAAGTCTAATTAGGTATAATTATAGTAATTGCTGTTTTAAAAAACGAATTACTGTATTTTTTCTTGACAAATTATATAATTGGTAAATTCTATAAGTCTGAAGCAAAGCGAAGGACCATAAAATTATGTGCATGTTAGCAAAGACGTCTGCCCGTCCGCCGCTCATCCTCTGAGTCGATGATGTAACACGTTCTTATGAAATTCTGTGCATGTTAATAAAGTTTAGCTTTGGACTCAACGACGATTTTATCAAATAGAACGATGTATATATATAGAAAATAAATTAAATTAGAAATTTTTGAAGATAATATCCTCTTGTTATTGTTACTGTTGATAGGTTATGAAAAAGATTTATTACGTGAAAATATCTTAGAGAATGATTGTGGATTTGTTGAAGGGTTGAGTGAGTATAGATAATTCACCAGCTAGAATATCAAAATAAAAATAGAAGTTCGCGTATTTCACATTTGCATTAGCACTTAATGTATGTATTTTTGGAATTCTACCCTACATACATTATTTTTTGAATGCCAAATAAATCTATGAGAAAACCTTCGCCTCTAACTTCATCGGGGACAGTTGATGTATACTGCTACTTCAGAAAACATCGATATTGTAATAGACACCTGATATTTGGGAATATTTTGATTATCGCAGCTGGTATTCGTTTTGAATGTTATTGCAAAAATGTGACAATGATCAATAATACCGTCTTACCGTCTTAACATGTACTCCTACCCTACGCATCCATAATCTGGTCTAATATTAAAAATATTTATAAAATAATTACAACAAGAAACAGATAGATGTATTGTTATTAATCTTGGTGTTTCGCCATTTCATTTCTTATGTCACCAAGCTTAACACCAAATACGCATCGCACATACTGTATATTCGATGCATCCAATTTTTGCATTGGTTTTCCCATTCAGAAACAATTTATGCGTTAGAAATTTCACAAATAAACCTTGTGTGATTAAACCCCTATGGAAACATATTAATATCATATACAAATTTGCGTCGCTAGGGGGAGGAACGGGATGAGGACAAACTTCGCCTTTTATACAGTATATACGACCAATTAGATCTGCAGGAAAAAAAACGCGATGCAAAGATGAAACCTACACGGTTCTCCAAAAACTCCTATTGGAGGATCAGTTATCTCACTATAGAGTGGACTGAAATATGTAATATGCATATATGGGCATATGTGACGATAATTTCACATATCATATGTGTACATTTTACACCGAAAAATATCACATGGTCTGTTGATGATATTTTTTATCATGGGACCCAGAACTTTTGATGTAGACAAAAAAAAATATTTTTACTAGCCAATTAGAAATAGATCATGTGATATTTTCGGTGTAAAATGTACACATATGATATGTGAAATTATCGTCACATATGCCCATATATGCACATTACATATTTCAGTCCACTCTAATCTCACTATCATTAGGTTTCTTAAACAATCTTAAAGGCGTGATATAACAGCAATGCATTCTCGGTTTTACATTTCAATAATGTAGAAATTTTTATTTTCCCAATAAAATTTATTCATCGCGGTCAAGAAAGCGGTATATTCTCTTAATTTTTTCTTGATTTGATTTGTTCTTGCTGTTTAATAATAAAATTTGTTGGTATTTTTCATGTTGCACGCCTTGTGCTTCGATATTGTGGATACAATATGTCAAGTTTTAGTACATTGGATATTCTCGTATTTTTAAGAATTCTGACCCGTGAAACGGTCAAGATATTTTATTAAAATCTCATGACATAAATTTTCTCTTTAATATTTCGGACAGAGTGTTGATATTGTCGAAGCTTACAATCCATTTATGTTTTTTATCATATCCATAATAAAGCTGAACGATTATTATTGTTATAAGTCACTGCAAGTGTGCAAAATCTATTTGCACTTTTTATATATTAAAAGAAACATTCACTCATATCCCTCAGAGCAATGTCACAATAAAAGATGTTTACCGTTTTTATCAGAAGTAATTGGTTTAGCATTTTCAATTTGATACTATGAAGAGACGTGGTCCACTCATGACGGTTTGTATATTGCCACAACATTGAGGTGTTAACTTCATGTGTCCTGTAGAAATACATATTCAATTTCTACTATGAGCTGGTTGCATTCTCGATTTAACTGCATAATATGGGCACTATGTCTTTCCATTTTTTCTATTACTAAGACTCATCCTCCATTCATGCTTTCTAGAACATCACCATAGCAAAGGCGAACGATTATCAATTCATCTAGTTGAAAGACAGTCTGACACCTTCAGCAATCATATACTCAAAATTTTTTAGAAACTTTAAAATTAATCAATTATTGATTTATTAAAATTATAAATTACATTAGTAATCTTTGTAAAAAAAAAATAAAAATCTCAAATAATTTTAATATATCTGATTTATATACATCAATTCATAATTAAGATATACAAAATTTATATTTTATTTGACAATAACCAAATAATTAATCCAAACAATTTATTTTCAAGGTCACTGTCTTACATGTTTTTCAGAATTAAGCAAAATTATAGTTTTTAAGAAAAACAAATAACAAAATATTAATAAGCAATATTGTAATATATAATATATATTATGTATTATATTATTTGTTAATTTTGATATTTATAAATAAATTTAATTGTTTATTGATCTATTTTATATTTTTAATATATTGCTTAATAAATTTAATAATACTTTTGTATTATAAAATATTAATAAAAATAATTAACTTGGTTTCAAATAAATTTATCAAAAAATTAACAAAACTATCAATTTGAAAATATAAAATAAAACAAAAAATTTTTATTATAAATTCTTTTTATTGATTTTTTTATTAATTTAAAAAATTGATTTTTCAAGGATTATATATTTTTATAATAATAATGTCCATATACTTTTATTAACAATATTGACTTTTTAATTACTTGTTTTTTATTTTTCAAAATATTGTTTTTATTTATTTTTATAATTAAATACAAGAAATTTTTTTAAAAATTTTATAGCAAAAACAATACTTTAAAAAAAAACCAACAAGAAAAAACATTTTTTAAAAACTTTAAAAATTTAAAAAATCAAAAAAAAATCTTTAGTTTTAATATTATGTTTTTGATTTTTTTTTTTCAAATATAATAATTTTTTAAAAAATTTTTACCTATTTTAATTTAATTTTAATTTTTTGTTATACTGGATTTTTTAAATAATAATTAATTAAAATCACAGATTAATTAATTGTATTAAATACTAAAAAAAAAAATAAACAAAAAATATTTTTTTATACATTTTGATTATATAATATCAAAACCAATAATATAATTAAATTTTAAAATAATTGAATAGTTTTTAATTTAAAAAATAACAAAAAAATATTAGATAAATTATAATATATTAATATAATACATATATATGAAGCAAATTAAAATTTAAATATAAATATAAATATTTTTATAAAACAAAATAAATTAGATAATAAAAATATTATTATTATTAAATTTTTATTGATTTTAGTTATATTTTATTTTATATATATTTGTTATATAATATATTATTATTTTTTTTAATAATTCTTAAAATATTTATATAGTTTAAATAATATAGTTATTTTAAAAATATTTTAACTTAAAATTCAAGTTGTAAAATTTTTTTATAATTCTAAATAATTATTTGTAAAAAAATCAAAAAAAAAATTTTTCTTTTATTTTTATAGATAAAATTTTTTTATAATTATTAAATATAAAAAATCAATTTTTAATCAATTCTTTGTATAAATAAATAAATTATATATAATTAATTAAAATATAAACAATTTATAATTAATTAAAATATTATAAGAAAAACCATATTTTCTTCTAGTCTTAAAAAAATAAAAGTTATATATAATATAAATATATTGAATTCTTTTAGTATCTTATAATATTCTTTTAAATTTTTTAATAAAATTATTATTATTATTATTTTATTTTTGTTTTTAATCAGATTATAATTTTAAGTATTTATTAATTATTTCAAAAAACAATAATACATATGGTTCAAAAATTGGAATCAAACAGAATCACAGGAAATCGCATGAGATTTGAAACACTATTAAAAATGATGATGAGATATATCCTACCTATTAAATTTAATATA